GAATGCCTAGGTGTTCTTACTAGCTTGGATCGTAGTACATGTGAAAGAAAAGCTGGGGAAAGAGGATGAGGAAGAGGCTAGACAGTTAAAAGGATTTCAGCTCTGAAAGTAAGTTACAGGAATACATTAATCATTTCCCTGCTGATCACAGCAAGAAGTGAGAGGGATAATTACATGAAAAATGATGTCATGGTTTGACTTACTTAAGGCATGGTGGGTTTTATGCTTAGAGGTTGAATAAAGGCACTGTTTATTCTTTTATATTTTAATTTGTTAACAGGGTAGTATGGCACAAGGTATCATGGGGCAAATAATGTGAACATGAAATGGAACTCTGGACACATGTATTTTAATGGAATCACAAGTATTCTGGTTTTTCTAAAAGTATATTTTTATAGTTGTGCCTAGTGAATAATTTCAGTATACAAGTGGTTACTCTGACAGTTGCAACTTCTATTGCGATCTGTAACCGTGGTTGTCAGTAGTAGCTGACTTCTGCATGCCTCCCCTCATGTCAAATTCTTCAGTGAACATAGTTTGTTAATGCAGTCCTTATTTCCATCCCATTAATTAAATATATGCCTATAGAAAGTGGTTGCTTATTCCCTTCAGTGAGCAGATGTATCCACATCTCATATGGTGTTTAAATGTAGTAAATCTCTTTAGTTTTTCCTTCCTTGTCAGTCAATAAGGCCCTGCCCAGGAGCTTTTTACAAGTCCCTGCTTGAAACAATTGGATTTCTGCATACCACATCTCTAGAAGAGGGCTTACCAATGGCATTTTGTTTTAGTAGCAGACAGGTATCTCTGTCAGTGAGTAAATCCAGTTTGATCTATCACTGTCACGTGTTTCACAAGAGCATTCAAAAGTATGATTTAGCATTTTGAGGATTCCAGGGAGATGTTGTTTTAACTTTACAAGTTTTTCCCACTTCAGAAATCCTGCAAGTCAACAAATTTTCCTTTCCTTAAAATGTTCTCTCACACAGAGCAGTAATCTGCTAGAGTAGCTGCCGTACTATTAAGATTGTAAAGGTACTTTTTCCCTGATGGAAATGCATGGAAAGGTTCCTTTAACTGCAATACTTTGGATGTTAGAGAGAGCTCAAAATACCTCAAGCAGAGTAAGTGGGTAGTATTTTTTCTGTTTGGTGCTGTAGTGCACAACTTGTATACAATAATAAGCTATAAGCCAACAATTGAGGCATGTTTTGAATTAGTAACGATGAACAAGATTTTTCTAAAGCCTTTACATACAGACTAGTTAAAAGGATATGTGTCAGACCAAGAAGTGCTTCCCCAGCTTTTTTGTTCCTTGCCTCTTGATTGGGTCTAAGTACATTTTGTAGTTCAGATGTTCTACAGGAACTTCAGAGGCAGACAGCTGTGATATATTCTTCTTTCTTGTAAATTAAGAAAGTTCTGATTTCACTCACAACTTCGTTGTGGGTCAGGGCACTGTATGAATCTTGTGTCCTCCCTCTGTCCAGCGACCTGCTCCAGCAACGTGTTGCATCTTAGTGGAGAATAACAGAATTTGTCCTTTGCCTCTGGGTTTCTTTGTGTAGGGCCATGGTACGAAGGCTGAGACACTGAGAGGAGCTAGAGTTCAGAGTGCAACAGCAACTGGAAAATTCTTTATTTTACATGCATTTGCCTGCCTGATGTGATATGATTAGTCAAGGTCAGGACACTTAATTGTAAGTGAAATAGAGAGCGATTTGTTTGTTACTTACATTTGAACTAGTCCAAGACCCTTCTGTCATCAGACTGGTTTCATTGCCAAGAACACACTATATTTCTTGTGAATATCCTGTGACATCCATCTCATGCTATGAGAATCTCCATGGGTCAGATCCTTAGCTTGTATAAATCTGAGTAGCTCCTTTTAAGTAATTGATACTCCAGTGATTTATGCCAAGTGAGCATATTTCATGAAGAAGTATTATTAAAATTCGATGTTTATTTTCTATCATTTTGTATTATTTTTGCACAATAAAAGGAAAAATGTGATGGCCACATTAAATTATCATGTGTACTGAGTATACCAGCTTACAAACAACATGTGTGCCAAATATAGCTGCTGGAAAACATTTTGAAATGGGACAAAACATCTATTTTCAGCCATCAACTGTGTGGAATTGTACATTAATACATACATGTTTTTTTAAAAGGCAGTAGATGTTTCTGGTCTGGTTCTCCAGTACTTGCCTCCCAAAAGAGTAGATGGCTGCAGAGAAGACACAAAGGTGAGTACTCGGGGATGAATCATTAGAGAATTTGCACTGGTGCAGCTGTCTGGGGTGTCTTGCAGGATGGCACTCTGTGAACTTTTTTTCACACTGAGCAAAGGAGAAATTTAATTTATTTAATTGCTTTTATTTCAGTGTTTTCCTGGTTTTCAATTACTGGTTTGTTAGGTTTGCAAAATACAGGTTGGGAGCGAGAAAAGGGCCTAGCATATCAAATCATTAGCCATGTGGACATGGTCTTTGTGACTTTGTTGCTCTGAAAGATACAGAGCCCTTCTCACAAGGAGCACATTCAGGTTCTTCAGTCTCTTCCTCAGCAATAGATGGTTATCATAACCAGTTCAGCTCTGGTTTTGATGTTTTTCTGCATAGTTTACCAATATTTATAGAAAGTTTTGAAATGAAAAAAAATGCAGTTAATTTTACATGTAGTCATTTTCAGCAAAGGAAGAAAAGCATTGAAATGGCAGTGACTCTAAACCATTCACTTTGCTGCAAAGGGTTCTGTTGTGTTCTAGTGACTCCTGCAAGCTGCATGTGTGTGATGTGCAGCATACAGGACTTGCTAATGTTGAGAAAACAAGCAAATATATAAATACTCCATCAGAGCATCCCAACATCTCTCTTTTCTAATGACTGAATTGTTTGTTTATAAAAAGATTTTTCTTCAGCATCCTCAGAGATGAATACTTTTGTGAAGAACATTTTTAATAAGGCAGATATAGCCCAGAAATACTGGGTAGAGTACGTTGGAGCTTTCTCAACTTGTATTTCTACAAATTCTTCCTCCATGCTTTTAGTCCTCCCTATTAAGAAAGCTAGAAAATACTGCCAAGAAGATATCTTTTGCTTCCTATCTGCTATTTAAAGCCTCACAGTTATTGGAAACCTCAAGTCCACATAGGCTTTCCTTTTAATTCTTTCTGCAGGAAAGCATGTGGGTTTTGCTTTCCTGTTCTCTTAATTGGCTAATGTAAAAGGAGCTGTTTGAAACTGCAACATGCTCATGCAGAAGAGAGTTCTTAAGCAAAAATGTGTGACTGGTTTTCACTTTGAAGTCAGTGAGAGATTTTATTCTCAGCTACTTCACAACTATATCTGAGCCCCTTGTCTTTTACAAAGTGTTTTGAAAACTTCAAGCTTAATCCAGAAGGTCTATCGTAAACAGAACTAGCCCTGATTTCAAAAGATGTTCCATATATGAAGGTCTGATGAGATTAAGACCTTGCAGGGATTAACACTTCCAGTTTAAGAATTCACACGTTTCAGTTTAGCAGTCAGAAAAACAGACACAAGCTACTGTATATGATTAATTTTTATTTAATATTTTTAGGGGAGATGTCTGCTAAAGTAAAGTTTAGAACATGGTAAATGATCCACACAATGAAAAAAAATCATTAATTAGTGTTTCATTATGTTGCTAAGGCAATGAACAAATAATAGACACTGACAAGATTAATAAGGGACTCCTTGTTTTCAAGGTTTTGGAGTATCTTATGCAGATTCATTCCAATTCTATCTTGTTTGGTCCATTTGAACCTCTAGGACTGCACCATTTCCTGGAATTCTGTGAAAGATAAGAGAATATTTACAGTGGAAATATAAAATTGAAAAGATTAGGGTAAACGATTAGTGGCTTATCAAGAGATTTAGAATAGGAATGAAAACAGTTACCCAATGGATGGCCAGAGGAGAAAACATGTATGAAAGAGAGACATTGTCTAAACTTCCTCTTCTAAACAACAGATGGAAAGGCAGGGTTTTGTTGACATTTATAAGGAATGATCAAATGTTTAAGATAAGTTTAGCCTTCTCTCTGCCTAATACTGATCTTGAGCAAAACTAATGAAATGGCTAATAGGGAATTTGAGTAAGAGGAAGTTAAGAGCTCAGGTAAAAGAATGAAATGCGAGTCCATTTGTCTTATTAGCTGTTTGCAATGCTTTAGCATTTACAATTAGCTTTAGCAGTTGAGAAGTGTTGATTTAGAGCACAATCTAAAGCCAAATAAATTGTGCAGTTCCATGTGGTATGATACTGAAATATTGTGTGGTACAATAAGAGATTGTTATGCGGAAGATCTTTTAAATATTTGGCTTTTGTGAGTTAGAGTATCTGATCAGTCCTGTCCTTGAACGACTGTATCAGTATATTGATTGCTTCATAAATCATGTGTGTTTATTCTGGCATATTTCCTAGGAATTCGTTTTAATTCTTTCCAAAGAAAGAAACAGAGGATCTCTGTCCTCCTAGTGCAGCGAGCTCGGGAATCTGCAGGCCAGCACATTCCCTGCGTGCTATTCCCTAAGCCCCTTTCATGCTCATCGGGGCAGCTCGCTTCTCTCATGGGACAAGTTACCATTGGCTGCCAACCTTTTGTGTGAGCGTGTGCTTCCTATTCAAACTGGGATAGAGAAATACAGAATTATGAGAGCAGCGGCCATTAAATCACACTGGTATCTCCATGGAGTGACTGCAATATGCTGCTTCCTAAAACAGCTGCTTCTTCCTCTGTGGTCCTTAGCCTGCCACTGAAGATAAATAGCATTGGTCCCCATGTGCAGAGCCTGTTGTGGGATCTTGTGTCAGGGTAGTGACACTTGATTGTTCTATTCTCGTTATCATGCAAAACAAATATTGATCTATGTGCTGCTAGCTCTTGCATATTGTGAATTATTTCACTGACTGGTGGAATTGCTGTTGGGAAATAACTGCTCTAAATGAGCCAATGGATGTGCTGTTGATTCTCCTGTGTAGAGCAGGTTCTTTTGTCCTTGATTTTACATTTGTGTATTAAAAGTGATGCTAGTGATACTTTACATCAGATTAAGTGAGAGGAGAAATACAGGGCGGTTTATTTCAAAACAACTGGAAATTTGTGAGTGAGTCGCAGTGAGAAAGTTCCTTAGGGCAGCCTAGCTGGGGTTTTTTTTACTTGCTCGTGCAAAAGGAGTTGCAGAGATGAACCTGTAAGATCAGGGACCATTTCTGCCCTTAAAACAGGTTGCTTCTGCAAGGGTTTCAGTAAAATCACTGGAGGTACATTAGTGTACTATCAATGTAAAAGAAAATCATGCATCAGTTACAACACATCCTGAGAAGCCTTATTCTGAATAAGTTATAAATAAGTTAATACCTTCAGCCCCAATTTTACCATCCCCGTCATGATCTGCAGCTGCCAAGAAGGTCTTGGTTTCTGAGGTGGTTAACACTCGGGCTCCACACTCAAACCTCTGAAGGAAATACCTAGGAAAAAAACCAACTTGATAATTATTTTCACAGAATGTTATTCCTTTATGCTGGCTGTGTAATCAGACTGATAGGTATATATAAATAAATTCTTTACCACAAAAGCCAAGTCCTCCAAACATTACTTTGTTTGACAAGCTGAATCTTAGTCATATATATTTCTGCTTTGTAAGTCCAGCCCTGATACAATTCATAGAATCATGGTTTGGGTTGGAAGGGACTTCAAAGATCATCTTGTTCCAACCGCCACCATGGGGGTGACACCTCCACCAGCCCGGGCTGCTCAAAGTCCTGTCCAGCCTGGCCTTGAGCACTGCCCGGGAGGGGGCATCCACACCTTCCCTGGACAACCTGTGCCAAGGCCTCACCACCCTCACCGTAAAGAATTTCTTCTTGCTATCTAGTCTAAATCTCCTCTCTTCTAGTTTAAAACTATCCCTCCTCATTCTATCACTACCCTCCCTGATAAGGAGTCCCTCCCCAGCTTCCCTGTAAGCCCTCTGTAAGTACTGGACGGTCGCTATGAGGTCTCCCCCCAGCGCCTTCTCTTCCCCAGGCAGAGCAGACCCAACTCTCTCAGCCTGGCCTCATAGCAGAGGTGCTCCAGCTCCTTGATCATCTTAGTGGCCCTCCTCTGGGCCCGCTTAAACAGAATCAATCACAATCGATTCTGCCTACTATCAAAATCCAGCCCCAGGGAGTTACTTTTTTCTATACTGAGCATTAAAGGCAGGTATTTACTAATTTATTTTTCTCTGTAGGGATTATTTGCTTAAATACACCTTTCACAGTCTGCTGAAGGATCTATCAATCTTTAGCATAACTTGTGCTCACATTTACAGAACAGTTCTGGAAAGAAAAAAGTGCTGATTTTTGGATAGCCTTTAAATAGTTAACACAGAAAATCCTTACTTGAGCTCGTCTTCCTCAATAAAGCCACTTTGATCATTGTCGAGAATCCGGAAGATATCCTTGAGCTGGCTGCTACTCTTTTTAGACATGCCACTGATCTGAAAGAATTTTTTGGGACTAAAGGAATCTGGAGCTGAAAATAAATTAATAAATAAATTAACCCCAGACCACTGCGTTCACTGTTCCTAAACAGTCTGAGGATGCTGCTTTGTTACATTCTAATTTTCTAAACATGAATAATAGCTAAAGTCTGACAAAGAATGAATCTTGCCATGTCCTCCTAAACATCAAAAAAAATCACATGGAGATAAGTTACAAACTGACAATAAAAACCAGTCATGAACAATACTGTGACAGCTAAGTAAAGAGATTACAGAAATCTGTTTACAGTATGCGCTTGTTCAGTATCCCTTTGGGACTGAATTAAGCTTGCCATGTGTTACACAAAATAATAGATTTTGAGAGTTTTAATTATTTTCTCACCTTGACAGTCCCGCAGAGCAGCAGCAATATCAGAAGGGCTTAGAAGGTCTGTAAGGCTCATTTTAAACCTGTGCAAAATAGTATATTGCAAACAGATTTGTGAAATGCAAATGTATCTTACAACAAATTGGTTTTTTTCTGTTCTTCAAAGAATACTACATGGCTAACAAGACTTCTAAGGGTAGATGAATCTAATTGATCAAACCAACATTGCTGCTACTCATAAACAAATTAAAATAGTAAATTACTTCCTTTAAAATAACAGTGCTGAAAGAATAGTTTTTAATGAGATGGATTACATAAATGGTGATGTGAGTTGATGATAAATTTTTCATAATTTACCTGCATCCTATTTAAGTACAGCACATTTTAAAACTCTCTGTAACCATTAATCTAATAATTAGTCTTACTGGAATGCATGGCATCTGGCAATACAAATAACAGTATATGCAGTGGAAAGAAGAAAGTCAAGAAGGTTTGCTTCTGTTTTCTCCCCCAACAGCTCTGAAGAATAAGAGGAAAACTGATACTTATCTATATAAGGTCCATCCATATGTAATTCCAGCAATTAAAATAACAATCTTAGAACAACAATTATTGTACTTACTGCTGGTGCAGCTCTGCACAGTAATTTCATTTAATTAATCTCAGGTCAGCTGCTCACCTTTATAGTTTTCTCAGGTAGGTAAAGGAAAAACAGCTGAGGAGGTACCAGGCAAAATAGTGATGTTGGCTGTGGCTTGCCACTCTGGCTTATAAAGGATTCAAAAGGTGACAATAACCATTACTTAGGTTACTGGTTCATGGATCAAATGTTTGATTTGAGACCTAGCTCAAATTTCTTCCTTAACTAATTAAACTTTTCTTTCCATTTATATCCTAAGATAATATGGACAAGAATATTTTTTTTTATTTCTAAATAAATCCACTTGTGCTTAATTAAGTACAACTCTGCCATCCAAACATAGCCTTTCAATCTCCAAGTATGCTGAAGATTTTCAGTTAACCTCTGGACCTTAAAGCTGCTCACTGGAAGATGACTCCAGCAGCCAAATCCTTGTGAAAAGAAACTAGTTTGGTTTTCCTAAATCTGTTGATCCTTTGGAATGTACAGAGGAAGCTGGAGATGAAAGATCAGAGGTGACAAGGTGTCATTCTGGCAAAGATAACTTGTCACTAGGACAGAGGAAAGCATGCTATAATTTGGGGTGATCCTTCTACAGTAAGCTTCATTTCATATTTCCTGACCATTTTCTAAATTACAGTGCTGTCCCTAATCAGGGATGGGAAAGCAACCAATGCCTTCAGTGACAGCAAAGCTCTGAAACTAGGTAAAGCTGAATAAGCCAATCTTGTTATCTGTATTCTTTTGGAAGATTATGTATAATCAGATGGTCCACTTAATAATCTATTTTGAATATTTTAAATTACATGAAAACAATACTAGACTTACTTGGGATATAGGTTTACATGCATTTTACAACACACACTCTTGCTATCTGTTTCCTTAATATGAAATTAAAATTGTGGGTATAAATAAGTGGGAGTTTATTATACATTTCAAAAGTATTAATTTTGGAAAAAAAAACCCTTAAGAAAACTGGGAACAACAGATATGAGGTTTTCCTTCGCAGACAAAAATTTGTTTCCATCTTTAAGGGGGTTTATGCCGATTGAATTCTAGGATGAAGACCTATAAGAAACACGTGTATTTTGGTTAGGGTTTGTTGTATAACAGTCTATTATGGTATCTAAAGTAATGTTCTCCTAGTACATGAGCATTGCTTTATTTTTTAATGAATAGAAATAGCATGGTATGCTGAACAAGCAATATTTTTTTATGGTAACAAATGTTACAAATTGCCCAGTGGAGCAGAGGAGCAATATATCTAAGCCTTGGTGTAAATTAATGGACTACAATGGGTTTATTCCTGGTTGGTTTAATGACAGTGAGAAAAGTATCAAGCATAGCAGTTGTTCTATAGCACCTGTTTGTCTGCATTTGGATAGAGAAATACAAGGTATAATTAACATGAAAAGGCAGATATCATTTAATCATACTTTTACTTTTTTGCTATCTCTTTTGTATGCAAAAGAAGATGCCATACATCACAAATAATCAGACTTATCCTTAATCCCAAATATCAGCTGTCTATTAATGAAAGAGTGCTCTCTTCTGTCTCTTTCAGTAGGAAAAGATACTGTTTGTAGTAATCTGGAATAACACTTTGCTATTAACCTATTAAACTTAAGAACTGTGGGCTGTGGTAAATTAGTATTGTCTGGTTAAAACAAATTGAACAATGCTGATTCGTACAAGTTGAAGATCTGATCTCAGGCATTTTGGTGTTATTTCTGTTTATCTTCTTTGTTCAATACTGTATATTCATCTTGCTTTCTGTCTGAGATTTGCATGATGTTAAGATCCATCAGACGGTGGCAGTGGGAAGGAAGCACCTACCGGGCTTTCTACAGAATCATCCTGAGACTGCTTTCATCCTTGTGGGAACCTTCTGGCACTTTGTTCTGAATGTTCTCATTTATGGCCATCTCAAGTTGATAAAAGTTTTCACAGGTTTTCTTACTGATTCCTCTTGACATTTTTCTGCCAACATTTTTTAGACCTCTGTGATAGTGCTATAGATGTTTTATTATAATAAGCTTCCTTTATTTCTGCTTGCTCCTGCACACTGCCCATTGAACTTCTCGCTTTGTTTAAATGTTTGAAGTGCCATACAACACTAATTATTAAAAGCTCATGAGAATGAGGAAATCAAAATGAAGTAGAAGAAAATTATGAGATCGTGATGAGCGTATAATACTCAAGCTCAAACTATGTCTGCAACTAATTCAGGCGTTATATTAAAATATAAGCACCAAATGCTCAAAGAATGGCATCTGGTTACCTCATACCTCTGCCATGGCACACAGGGTGCTGAACTGTTTTTACATGTATTCAACAGTAGTGTAGTAGCTAGGATTAATTAGTATTATATTTAAGTATGATCTCAAATAAAAGTGAACTAATTACTACAGTAAGTTCACTATTATTGCTTAAGAAGGAATCTTTTAATGTTTGAAATTCAACACTGACAACAAAAGTGATGCTAATCCTGGCTGAAAGATGGTTTACTAAAGCCTAAAAGAGCTGAATTTCAGAATCTAGTTGATGTCACTGTATATTGATACAGGTGAGAATCTAGGGTTACTGGGTTTTATTTATTTATTAATGACACTTCATCTGAAGGACAGGTTTCCTCCTCTACAATTAGAATGAAATAGTCAGGGATGAGTATATTATGTAAAGGGATGTTTATATTAGATAATCAATTTTACAACTAAATTAACTGTCTGGTTTCTTTACTTCTGTGGTACGTGTTAACTTAAGTGATTGTAATAACTTTAGAGGTTCAAAAACTGAGATCTGTAAAAGATATTATGCAAGCAATGCAATGCTATAAAGAAAATACCTAATAATTAAACCAGAAGAACAGCTGCCAGGTAATGGGCAGTTAGCCATAGTCCAAAATCTGGTATGGAGTCAGTATTGCAGTTTCCGGGAATGTTTAGCACTTCTTCCTGTTAAGTTCAAGAAAAGTGATTTTTTGTTGTTTTGTTTTTGTTTGTTTGGTTTTGTTGGGTTTTTTGTCTGCTAGGGACATCTGAAAGTGCTATTGAATTGTTCATCTGAAGAATTATGTTCAATACTTGTGTTACTTTTATAACTTGTGTTGTTTTCCCCTGAAGTGTCTTTATGCACAGTATATACAGGAATATTAAAGCCATTTATTTTTTGCTTCAGACTTTCAGAATTAAACCTGAAGGTGTAGCTCTGAGAAATACAGAACATTCGTATTGACAAGTTCTTGCTGGGAATCTAAACATCTAAACCAACTGTTTTCAAATCAAGTACCATTCACTGATCTTATGAATGGAGGAAAGTTGTGTTTTGGTAAATCATTGACAGGTTGTGGACTGGTCTTGCACTCTTTGTGTTCTGTTTGGTATAAAGTGCAGAGTTAATTAGCAGTGGCAATCAACCAAAGATGTGACTTCAAGCAGGTGTAAAAGGAACGTCAGCAGTTGTCTCAGGTGAGATCAGAGGAGAGGTGTTAACCTGAGACCAACTACACCAGTGTAAAGAGATGCAGTAGCAGCTGTTCTAAACCCCACACAACCCCATCTTTCAGCCCTGGTTGTGATAGGGCCAGAACAATTGTGTCGTGATCCTGGATAACAGATTCTGCCTTTGTAATGAGTTTGGAAGTAACTAAAATAGATACTCAGTAACCTGTGTGGTTTACCATTAATGTTGATATCTAAATGATGGTAAGAGAATCTTAGTGTGAATGTAGCTATAATAATTGAAAAGGGCCTTTACAGCCAATTGAGTTATATCCTGCCACTTCAAGTTGCTTCTTAAGGCACATGCTTTAATCATACAGAAATATTTACAGAATCCCATTTGAATGGTTGCTTGGGCCATAGTCTTTTACCACATTTAACAGAGAGGTTTAAGAACATGGTTTAGTATTTTATTTTGTTGGTATTGTGCATTATTCCAATGAAGGGTGAAATCCAGGCCTTGGAAGCCTCAGTGACAAAGCTTTCTTTCCCTGCAGCAAGTTGAGGATAATTACCCAGAGCACTGAGCAGAGATCTGAACTGTTGAATGCAGGGTACAACATACGTCCTGCAGTACTGTGGGTCTGGAGCTAAAGGAAGACAGGTACTTCTCTCGTGTTAGGAGAAATGTCTTGTGTACTTTCCTCACTTTAAACTACATCCTTATAATTCTGTGTAAATCAGATTGATTTCTGATTGAAAATGATAGCAAAATAGACTAACATAACTGGTTAATAGCATAACTAATTCATAGAGATTGTTCTGATCATGAACATTTAAAAAGCTCTCCTGGAAGATATCTGCTACCATTTGATATATTATGTGTTCATCTTTAAATGCATTTGCAAGTGCTTCTGTGACTCAGTAACACCGTTTTCTGGCTCTGACCCTAAATGTAATTGTCTAAGATGTTTCTGTCTGCTGTCGGCATTATAGAAAATGTCAGA